TATTATTGTATTATCTCTCATGCTCTCGATGACTTTAATATAATACTTATATATCTCAACCGTACAATTGTGCATTACTGAACTCAGAAGTAGTATTACTGAACTCGTAGGAGTAGCAGCGGGTGGGGGCTGGTACCTCACCCTCCCTCAGTGTCACTTAATTTTTTTTATTTAATACTACATTTTCTTGACTGTGCAAAGGCATTTGACTATGGGGATCATGACAAGACCAACAAACAGAAAACAACTATGACTAACAGTGGACATTCCAGAACACCCAATTGTGCTCATGGTGGTATTGGGAACATTCCAGGTAATGCTTACAATACACTTAGTGCAGTGCCTGGATGATAGGAAGTGATCAAATACGTTCTTTTAGCAAATACTAATTGAGCATCTACTTTGAGCAGAGCACACCAATCATTGTGTAGCTATAGACTTATTCGATTTACTACCCTCAACACAAGGCTATCACGCTTCAGCCATGTTATAGCATGAGTCAGGACTCCATTTCTCTTCCCCACTGAATAGTATTCCATCCCATGTTTGTATTCTATCTTGTTTTCCCAGGCATCTGGGGGAAGGCCTCATTACCTCTTGATGTTTATTTTTTGGTAGGTCAAAGCCTCCCTCGAAGACACCGAAGGTCCCCAAGATTTACACCAAAACAGGAGACAAAGGTAGGCTGGGATCAGTTGAAAATGTACCCATGGATGTACGCTCACGCCATTCTTCCAAATTCTTTCAAAAGTGTGTGCTAGATCTCAAGACACTGGAATGAAAAATGCCCACTCTGTACTCGTAGGAAGCGATGGAAGCAAACTGAAGAACAATCCACCCATACAAGGGGACTTCAAAAAGTGGGGGGGGGGGGATTGGAATGAAAAGATACCAGGATTTCTCCCCCTTCTTTCTGAAGCGGTCTTGTATTCACACATGCATAGAAGTTGGGCTGCTTGGCTTGCATGCAGCACATCGGAGTGAATCACGGGGTAGCACAGCTGTTAGCTGCTATTGAGTTGGTTCCAACCCATAGCTACCCTGTGCACAATGGTCCTGGGCCATCCTCACAATTGTTCCTCTGCCTGAACCCATTGCTGTAGCCATCATGTCAATCCTCCTTCAGGGCCTTCCTCTTTTTCACTGCCTCTCTACTTTACCAAGCATGATGTCCTTCTCCAGGGACCCGTCTCTCCTGACAGCATGTTCAAAGTAGGTAAGACAAAGGCTCGCCATCCTTGCCTCTAAAGAGCACTCTGGCCAGACTTCTTCCAAGACAGATTTGCTTGTTCTTTTGGCAGTCCGTGGTACTTGCAAGATTCTTTGCCAACCCACAATTCAACTGCATTGATTCTTCTTCAGTCTTATTTATTCAATATCCAACTTTCAGATGCACATTGAAATAGGAATAGTAGTGGGAGTAGCAATAACATGAGGGTAGGGGGATTGTCAGGGAGGGGGAAAGGTAAGAAAGGGGGA